TCTACCGGCTAACCGCAGTAATGCTGTGTCTGATGTAAAATCAGAGTTGTCAGTTTAATCATTACTTTTTTTAGTTGAAAACTGTGTGTAAGTGGTGTTAAAGTATTTTCTTCGAGAGCTAAGTAGTGGAGCTACAAGTGTTGCTGCAATCGGACGCATGCGCAAAACACTGTGTTCTGTCAAAAGTTTGTGTTTTTTTTTCCTGTCGAAAGTTAAAAGTATTTGTTGGTCAGCTTTAGAGAAACCTGCTCTCTGATCTGTGAAAAGAACACTGTGTTGTGTGATTTTACTGCAAGACCCTTTGGTCAAAGCCACAGAGGAAACTGGTCGCCATTTTGTGTCAGCTCTCCTTAAAACGGAAGGAGACGCCCACTAGAGGGTTGGAGGGTGAAGTGTTTTCAGTGTAAAATGCTGCTCTGTTGCTGTTCATTTCTTAAGTGAGAATACTGGAAACTGTTAAGAGTTAACAACATATTTTTTTGTTTAAAACATATGGCTAAAACCCCATTTGATATGTTTTGCACTGTTTTGCACTACAAGAAAGAAGCCTAATACATGGTTTGTTTATTATTTAAAAACTCTCTGGACCTAATAGTAGAATTTTCTTAACTGAGATTATTTTGTGGTATAGCAGTTTTCAAAATAAATGACAACAAATAAATGGCAAAAGGACAACCTATGCTTTTTTTTCCCATTCCTATTGCAAGTTTTATACTAAAAACATATGCTGGTGAAGATTCTCAGTCATCCAGGACATGATGAATTCAAAAAGCTTTTTAGGTTTTTAGGTGTGAACTGCCAATCTACATATATGTGTGTGTGTGTGTGTCTTATGTGTGTGTGTGTCTTATCTCACTCAGCCTTATAACCTGAATCTCTCACTCTCTGCTCTTTGAATTGAGAAAGCTCCTTGGATGAGGAGCGAAACGTCTTCTGTTACAAATAAAGTCCAGTTGTTTTTTGTATTGAACGCTTTTTGAATACTAAAAACATATCGTGATATATATCGTTATTGCCACCCTTCACAATACATATCGTGATATGAATTTTATGCCATATCGCACATCCCTAATCCATATATCTCCTCTTTGTCTTTTTTGAATATGACTATTTTTGCATATTTGAAAACACACTGGTCAAAAAAATCAACTTACAGTGCTAGGAAAAATCAGGGACAAACTTATATAATTAAAAAGTACATTTCTATGAGGTATGTAATAGTTATTTTCTTAAGATTCGCATGCTTTAATGATGTTCCTCCAAAGTTAATTGATAAATAAAGCCTGGCAGCTCGTAACATCTTTGCCTGACTGCAGCCTTGATCACATGATACGAGTTTGTTTTGCTTGTTAGTGGCTCAAAGGAGCAGGCAGATAAGGTGAGTTTGATCTGCAACACATCCAAAGCAGTTTTAAACCGTGTCACATGTCATTACGACACCTGTTTACTTATTGCAAGTGTGGCTTTAGCGTGTGATGTGGGAGCTAACTTCTGACACAGGTGGTCTCTACCTGTGGGGCAGTGAATCCCCCTGGAAAGTCCACAGCAGCAGCGGCAGCAGCATATGGCCCAGTGGATTAAGGTATTATGTAGCGATGCAGGTGACAGAGAAAGCCTCCTCTAATCACTGATTTGCTAATTGATTACCCAACCAGCGTTCGTAACTCTGGACACTAAAATGGCAGCAACTTAAAACCTTCAATCCTATCGCGCCATGCCACCCTCCAACGTGACCGCTCAGCTCTACACGTAAAACAAAAACAAGCAACTTTTATTAATTCTGTCTGGAAAAACGTGACGGTGCTGTGAGGACAAACAGCAGCACTCCAGACAAACATGAAGGTGAAGAACCTGATCACCTCTCGGTCACATCAGAGCTCCACAGCTGATCACTCAGTGTATGACCTAACATTGATCACATTCATCTGCACATATAACACTGGGCTCTGGACTCAACGAGAACATCACTGGCTGCTTTAATGGACAGAGCAGCTGCTTTAGAACGAGTTCACGTCAGTTAGTTTTCATTTTCTAAACCAGAGAATAAAAAACACGTGTAATTCCACTCACACAGCAGAATTGTCAAACCACAGTTTGTTTGAAGTATTGAGCGTTTTTTGGACTTTGCTGTTTGCAGGGGTTCCCAACCCTGGCCCTTGAGGAATACCATCCTGCATGTTTTAGTTGTTTCTTTTTTAACACACCCGATTCAATGATTTAATTACTTCCTCAAGTTCTGCAGAAGCCTGTTAATCACCCGTTCATTCAAATCAGGTGTGTTGGAGCAGAGAAGCAACTAAACCATGCAGGATGGTGTTCCTCAAGGACCAGGGTTGGGAACCACTGGTTTAGAATATGATGTACAGTAGCGCTTTGAGATTTAGTTTTGCAAAAATGGCAGCAATACTCAGAGGTTTCAGCCTAATGACCCCTCATGGTAAAGAAAATATTAACACATGGCACCTCAGCACGGATTGAAGATATTTTTCACAATAATATAGATTTTGTTCTGCTGACTCAAAGCAACATACATAAAGTAAATCAATGTAATCTGGGTTGAATAAAGTGATATTAGATTATGTATCAAATGGACAGATATGTCTTTTTACCAATTACTTTTTTGAGTTGTACTTAATTATACAAGACATTGTGTTTCACTTGCTGGTGTTTAACTAGACTCAAACAAGTTTTAAAACTTGTACCAATAAAAACTACTTTAACATTCCAGTTGAAACAATTAGCCAGAATAGGAAATTTGAATCAACTATATAATACAATGAACAGCTTCACTATAGACAAAGCATCTGTTTATTCATGGATTGTTATAATTATTTCTTATTACTGTTATCTTTGAGTAATATAGGAGCCTTTTTATGGGTCCCATCTCCAAGTTTGGAACCATTGCTGGTCCTTGAGGGCCACAGTCCTGCATGTTTTAGATGTTCCTCTGCTCTAACACACCTCATTTGATTCAACGAGTGATTAACAGGCTTCTATAGAACGCGAACAGGAAATTTTACATCTGAATTGGGTGCGTTGGAGCAGGAAACAGTAAAACATGCAGGATAGTGGCCCTTGAGGACCAGGGTTGGACACCCGATGGATGACCGATGGTTTGACCAAATTATAACGTGTGAGGTGATAGCATGTAATCCTGATCCGAACTTGTTTTTGTATTGGAGTCAAGACGGTTCATCTCGTCCTGAGCATTGCATTGTTGACATTAACCTAAACCTAACCATAGCTGGTTTATGTACCAATATAGTAAACAAGTCTATTAAAATATGACAAAACAGTCTTAGCTACTGTTTGTTTAACTAATTTGTCCCTGCTGTTTTTATCTTTTACCATAATTTTTTTGGGGGAAAAAACACGACACTACTGGTCATTTTAAAACTGAATTTGATTTCTGGAGATTATCTGAAGACTTGGTCAGTTATGGCAACCATTGTTATAAATATGCCACCTGCAATCACAAATACTGGGGAAAAAAGGTACACAAGCAACATTATTACACGCACACCCATATTTAAACATATTTCATTCACGTTCCAATCCTATATATTGTAATTCATGTTCGTATCATAAGTATGACCCAACTTTAGCAAGGATGTATTGCTTGCAATCTGTAATGAGCTCATTTGAACTTGGTTCAAGGTTTTTGCTCCTCTAGTTCACCAGGCTTTTCACATATAAGTGGATGTAACCACATGCAATCACATGAATGTATTTTTTAAATCTCACATGAAACATGGGGGAAACAGAGATTTCCACATGGGTGCGTGTTTTTATTTCAAGACCACACTGTAACATATGAAAAAGTGATTTGAAGTTGAGGTGATGTGAAAGTGTAAAGGTGGATTAAAGCATATATGTCAGGGGTCTGCAACATTTTAGATCCAAAGAGCCATTTCTACCCTTCACTTACGAAACAAAATGTAGAGCCGCAAAACCTGCAACATCAGTGATTATCAACTGGTGGCTCATGGGCCACTTCAAATTTCTATGACTTTTTTTTTTCCCCACAGTTTTTTTCCACTTTAGAAAACAAAAATTACATAATGAACTTTAACATTTATTAATATTTTTACATTTTAGGGCTAAAGAAAAGACTGCATTCATGTAAAATAAGGGGAAAAGATCATAACAATTTTACCAAATAAAATTTAACCCTAAACTCTGCAGGTTTTTGAGTCTTCCTTTTAAATTTTAGAAAAATTAAAAAAAAATTGTATTCCACTTTAAAGTAATAAAGCATATTACATTTAAAGTGTATCTAAATATTAGGGAATTTTGTTGGCTATGTCAATGTGACATTAAGTTTTTAATTTCAAAACAACTTTTGTATGCATTTTAACTTGAATTAGGTCTATCCATCTATTAATTACTCAACTTATTATAGGTAACTTGTCCTAAAGGTATTCTAAAGAATTTCTGGTGGATTTGAGAGAACGATCCCACTTTAAGGCCGGATATTGGGTAAACGAAGTTGCTAAAGCTAATCATCATTATTTTCTCTAATTAAATTTAATAAAACATTTGCAGAAAAACTGCTAAAACTTGCCATTTCTCTTTACTGTGGTTATAAAAACGAACGACTTTACATTTTCTATTATGTCTGGTCAAAGCTTCAAGGAGCCGCAGGCCAAGGACCAATGAGCCACATGTGGCCCCAGAGCCGCAGGTTGCAGAACCCTGATATATAAAAATGTCAATAACATGTAAAAAAAAAAAAAAAAAAGTTTACTCTAGATTTTGCTTGTGTTAACTTAACATGAGTTAACAGTCTAATTACTTCAGGTGTTAACTGTTCTGTTTTAATTGTATTTTAATAAAACTGTGCCCCTAAAGAACACAGCTCACTTATATGAGAATGATTTGTGCCATGAAATATACTTTACTGTATATCCAAGCAGGGAGTTTTATCAATAAAATAAATAAATAAATACAAGTTTATGTTTGGGAGTAAAGAGTTGAGGAGGAGCAGAGAAGGGCCTCACCTGTGGGGAAGGAGTTTGGTTGAACAACGTAGAGAAACGCGTGGACCACGTGGAACAGGATGCCCATGGTCCCAGGCTCGTAATAAGCGTGCGTGTCATAAACAGCTGCGGGGACAAAGCCGAAGTCCAGCGGCTCCACGGGCGGAGGGGTGCGCTGCCTGCGGGGGTCCGACCTGACCTCCCCCCGCGCCGCGTCCCCCTCCTCCGCCCGCCGCTCGCAGCTGGTGGCCCCCCAGCAAAGCAGCAGGACGAGCCACCGTGTCCACAACATGGCTCCAGAAAAACGACTAAAATAATCAAAACAGGTGGTGGGCAGCTGACACCTCCCTCTCGGTGTTTATTTTTTTTAATTATTATTATTATTATTATTATCTCCAAAGAACCGTCCCAGGTGAAACTTTAAAAGTGAACATCCAGCCGCTTCGGCTCGGCTCGGCTCGGTTCGGTTCGCGCCCGGTCCGTTAGCTCCGAGCTTCTCGGGTCGTCACTGACATTTTCCCGGAGGAGAAGCGGCAGCGGCGGCGGGTGTCGTCACTCTCCCCGGTGTCCTCGCGCTCACCGGCAGCTAAGAGCAGCCTAATCTCACGTGCACGAAGAGGCTGGAGTGGGCTCGTGCACGCTGAGAGCGCCACTGTTCTGTAGACTGTCGTCATTTTACCAACTGCGTCAAAGACGAGATTTAGGCAACTTTAATTAGTAGTTACTAACAAGAGGTCAACATTAGGTTGCACTATTGAAGAAGGCTAAAAAAAAAAAAAAAAACTAATTAGTAAACTAGTAAGTATTTTGGTATCAGTAATGAGTAAGACAAAATCTAGTGGCACTAATTTTTGCCATAAAGGTCAACGTTTCATGGCACAGTCAACAAGCTGACATTTTCGGTGAGCTTGTTGACTAACAGAGCTTTTGGGCAATACTAGTTAACTTTAACTTTTGCCCTTGCTAGTTAAGAAACATGCACTAGTAGTAGTCGATTTGGGGTAAAACTATTTTTTTTATTTTCATTCAACCTTTATTTAGACAGGTTAATCCCATTGAGCTTCGAGGACTCATTTACAAGAGAGACCTGATTTCAACAAAGAATGATGACAACAATGGACAACAGTGACAACAATAAATAATTATAAAAATTCTTTTTTTTTGTAACAAATAGGATGGCTAAAAAAAAAAGAAAAGAAAAGTAACAAAAACAGCTTGATTCTAAGGCGAATGTAGAAAACTAAAAACAGGAACATGTCTGCATTGGTCCCTGCCAGGAGTCCAGCAGATTTTTAAAGCCACTTAGAGAGGTCAAGGTCGAGAGCTTCAGATCTTTTTGTAAGATATTCCAAGAAACAGGAGCAGAGTAGGAGAAGGCCCTTTTGCCTAGTTCAGTTCTCACTGAGGGAACACTGCAGGTAATAATGTCCTGAAAGCGCACGCTGTAGCTGCACTCACGCAGAGGCATGTAGGAGGAGATGTGTGAAGGCAGCAGACCAAGAAGTGATTTAAAGATGAAAATACCAGTGAGAGAGTCTGCGTGAAGTTAATGAAGTTAATTAAGTCAAAGATTTATGCACACTATTCAACTTTTTTTTTTTTTTTTTTTCTTCTTCTTCTTTCGGCTGCTCCCTTCCTCTGGGTTCACAGCGAACTAAGTCGCACAAAGACTTGACAATTATTTATACACCAGATACTCTTCCTGACTCAACGACCACGGAGCTACCACAGCCCTCTGTGTGGAGCAGAGAGCTGCTATCCAGTTAGCTCGGGGGAGCAGAAAGTGAAGGTTAAGGGTCTTGCTCAAGGGCCCAGAGTGGGGCAAGTGAGGGTGGAGGCACGTGGGTGCTTAACCTATCCCACCCACATTTTTGATGTTGTCGGCACTGGGAGATGAACCAGTGATCTTCCGATCACAGGCCCACCTTCTAACCTCTATACCACCACTCGCTATCACACTATTCAACAATGGCTTTTTTAGGCACATTTGTTTACAAGGAGGTGACACAGATGGTGGTAAAGTTGGTAGAATGTTGCCTCTCAGGGGAAGGTCCCTGAATCAAATCCTGGCCAGGGGTCTTTCTTTGTGGAGTTTACATGTCCTCTCCAGGCATGCATGGGTTTTCAACAGGTATTCCGGTTTTCTCCCACAGACTAAAAACGTGCATGGTTAGGCTGATTGGTAACTCTGTCCATAGCTGTGAATGCGAGTGAGTGTGAATGGTTGTTTGTCTCGTTTGTTGTCCTGTGATGGACTTGACCTGTCCAACGTGTCTCCCACCTCTCACACAAAGGCACCAGGGATCTCCTTTGACCTGGAAAGAAAGAAGCGGGTAAAGCTAATGATGGATAATTACAGAGGGCAAAAAAGTTAGTGAACTAGTGAACAGCTTTGGCAATACTAGTTGATTAGTGAGGCTAAGTTTAGTAGCCCTGCTAAAAAAATCTTAATAATTAATTAGTCAACATTTTGGTTGAGTCAATCTTTTTAAGTGCACTAATTAAAAAGGCCAAAGAAGCTTTAATTAGTGAACTACTCAACTAGTTGACATTTTTACAAGTCAATAAACTAATAAGAACAAAACTATGTCAATTAGCCACCAAATCAGCATTTTGGGCATTACTGGTTAACTAGTAAGACCAAACTGAGTTGCACCAGTTGACTAGTGCGCACATTTAAAAGTCGCTAGTCGACTTGACTGCAGTTTCTTTGTTGATTAGTTAACATTTAGATTGTTATTATTTTTGCTTACTAATTGGTTCTTTTTAACCATGCAGGAAAATCCCACTGAGATCACAGATCTCATTTGCAAGGAAGGCCTTGGCCTGAGGGCAACTTGTTTGACACCGTGTCAACTAGTTTGATCTGTTCTACATCAGACAAGAATGGGACAATTACCTCCTAAATCTCCAGCTGGTGACAATTTGTTTCTCTAACGAGGTTAGACAGGAATGGTTGATAGTTCTTGATTGTGCCATTAGGTGGAAACAACATGACTTCTGTCTTCTTCTCATTAAAGTTTAAGAAATTTATCCAATCAACCAGGCAGCCAAGAAGAGGTTGGACAGAACGTGGACTAGTGTGCTTCAGAGGGAAATTTGACAGTCATCGGCATAAAAATGAAAAGGTATGCCGTGTTTACAAACAATAGCACCTAGTGGCAGCACTATAAAAAGAAGAGGACCGAGGATGGAACCCTGCGCTACCCCCCACCGAAGAGCAGTCGATGTTGAAATAAAATCCTTGATGTTGACACAAAAGGTTCAGTCAGAGAGAAACCATTTGAGGGCCGACCATGTGATGCCCACCCACTGCTCCAGCCTAGAAATGAGAATCTCATGGTTGATGGTGTCAAAAGCAGATGTAAGGTCCAGTAGGACAGAGTCACCTGCATCTGTGGCTAGGAAAATATAATCAAAAACCCTTAATAGGGACGGCTCAGGCTACTAGGCTAAGTTAATGTATAGAGATGTCCTCCTCAGGAGCAGTGCGTAAAATTCAAAACTATTTACAAGTCATTTGTTGTCATTTCTGTGGCCCTTTAGCTTTTTTATGTAGTTATTTTGTGACTTTGTGTACATGTTTTGACGTGAATTTAAATCATATTGTGTGCTTTTTAATTTTACATGTGAAAACATAATGCATCTGACCACGTACCACTGAACCCCTTGTTCTGTAGGTCCATTTATTAAGTCATTTATAGTCTGAATGGCAAGAATGCGTGAACTAGTTCTAATCAATTTAAATGCTGGAATACACCTTTTTCATGGAAGATTTATTAGTTTAACTTAGACATAACTGTACCCCAGTGTACAACTCAAAGCATTTCTAAACATGGTTTTGGTGTGGAAGAACTTGATGGGTCCACACACACATTTGTTCTCTTCTCTTGGGCAAGGTTCATTTAAAATTCACTGAAACATTGTGGAAAACTGTGGCAAGACAATTTTTTTAAACCACCAATGCCATGTCTTCTGTACTGAAGATGAGAGGGGCAATTTAGTGTCATCAGTGCACAGTTCAAAAACCTGCTTCTCTGATGGTATGGGGGTGTATTAGAGCCACTGGCATGAGCAGCTTACACACCTGCTTACAGTACAGAACAGTTTATACAGGTTTTAAGCTGCAAATGCTCTCATTCAGATGTCTTTTTCAGGGAAGGCCTTGCATATTTCAGCAGGACTTTGCTTCCATTACAACAGCATGGCTTCATAGTTGAAGAGTCCCGGTGCTGAAATGACCCGTTCATAGACCAGACCTCTCACCAACTGAAGACACGATCTTAAAACAAAAAAAATAATCTGTCAAAACAACCCAGAATGGCTTGAGTTCCACATCAGACAAGAATGGGACAGTTACCTCCGAAAACTCCAGCTGGACTCCAACATGACCCTGTCATGCCCTTTTGTTTAAGTTGCTGCCAAAATTTCAATTCTTAAAAATGGTACAACTTTTTATGCATTTGAAATGTTAATGTTCCATTGTGAATAAAATATGGGTTTATGAAATTCTATTTGTTTCCATTTTACTTTTTCAGAACGTGTGTTGTATTTGATAGTGTCCAAACTTTTTTTTCCCCAGCCATGTTGTTCTGTTACTGGAACAGCTTTCAACAGACCTGAAGTGAGGAAGGTCACTGACACTGTGGTCCTGTTCACTGTGCAGCTGATAGTCCAGCACAGTTAGGTTTTGGCAAACACAGAAGCTTCAAGTTCAAAGCGGGGAGGGGAAAACCCAGAGGATTGTTACACTAGAGACTGGTGGGGTTGTGCAGGTCTCAGGAAAGTACTCTGAAGTCTCTGATAACATCCATCCATCACCTTTACCCGCTCCTTCCATTTTGGGTCACGAGGTCGCCGGTGCCCATGTCCAGCAATCACTGCGCGAGGGGCGGGGTACACCCTGGACAGGTCTCCAGTCCATTAGTCCATTAATGGCGTACCACAAGGCTCAGTCTTAGGACGCACTTCCTTTACAATCTACATAAGTAATGTTGGCCAGTTCATTCATGACACATCCTTACATTTCTATGCCGATGATGCAGTTATTGTTGAGCTAAATCAGTTGCTAAGGTTTTCCCAGTTTTAACAGCCTGCATTTGACGTCATTCAGTCAGACTTGTCAAATAAAGTCGTTTTTTGTCTTGAACTTTTTTGAATTTACCATGTCCTGGATGACTGAGCATCTTCACCAGCGTAAATGTGATGAAGACCCCCCTCACCTCCACATCTGTGCAGGTGAACAGTAGATTTCAGTGTTTTCACACAGTGTGCAGTGACTCCTTTCACAACCACCAGTTCAGACTGCCTTCACTCACACAGGTTCAAATCCCATTAGAAAAACATAAAAAACATGTTTTATTCTCCTTCTGTAGTGCAAGGAGACGCATGACACAGATGAGTTTCACACGAAAAATTAAACCATCAAAAGGACTGATTCATACAAGACTCATCTACGCACTAAAAATAATCTCACACTTTGCACTCACACTATCACAATGTACTCTCTTTTCTTTAACAAGGATTCTCTTACTGATGTAACTGTTTTGACTGTTTCTACTTTGGATGGCATAACTAATACAAAGGATGGGATGAATATTTTGTTTTACCTAAATGATAAAATCTTGCATACTGCTCATCACTTTTTAGTCTTTCACACTTAAAATGTTCATTTTACTGTCATTTCTTTCCAGGTACATAAAAAAAGCACAAGACTTGTTTAGCACATAATGACAAACTTAAAATTCATCATTCGGTATAAAAGTAAACACAAACGCTTTAAACATCAGTCAAGACTTAATAGGAATCTTATTATAAAATAACTTTGTTCACAGTTTAGAAAAAGACAAGGCTGTACATTTTGACCCTTTTGCTCAGATCAATAGTGAAAATGCACAAAATTAAAAAGATTGCATTTCAGTTCAACTGAGCCACAAACACCTACTGTAGTATAACTTTTCTTCATACCCAGAGCCAATAAGCAATAACCGTCAAACAGTCACTTAAATAAATCAGAATTTCTTATTTTTATATATAAAATGTGCCAGGTTCACAGCATTTTAAAGTAGCTATAGAGGAGGGTTGCTGTGTCTAAATATTCAGGTTGTCATATTTACCTTTAATTGAGCTCTTTCCTGAAAACAATTCTCTTAAGTGCCCTGTAATTTTAAATTTTAGTCACCAACCTAGGCATCAAAACACGCTTTCCAACATAAACACTTAATGCTGCTGTAATGGTTTAAACAGCAGGTTGCATGTTTAATTGATAAAAGTACAAATTAGGGAGGAAAATAACACTTCAAAAACAAAATGCAGCCTAAACTTTGTGACTTGAGAGATCACTCAGTGCTTTAAAAGAGCATTAACACAAACAGCTTCACACTAAAACTCCAACGATAAAGCTGATGCGTTCATGCAAGGTTGTAAAAAAAATCACTGCGGTTCTGTTTAGCATGTTGGACAGCACCTGACCTTCATTCATCCTTCCTTTACATCAGCCATTATTTAGTGTTGGGAGTTTGCAGAATGACTGAGATTTAAAAAACCCGGTTGTATGATCACAGACCTGCGGCTGATCGTGGAAGTTACAAAAGATCTGACGCTCGTTTAAAAAAAAAGACCTTTAAAGATTTCAAGTTAATCCTTTAAACTAGAAAAAAAAAGACAATCTGACAAATGTTCTTTCTAAAACCAACTCCTTGCTCTAGATATGATTGTGCTTTCAAACACACAACAACACAGTCCAGCTGTAATGCTCCTAGAGTCATGTTCATTTTTTCGTCTTCAGTTTACCCCATCATCACCAGCAAGCGTGTCTACGCGTTCCCATGACGACGACGATCCTCCATGGTTCATCGACTACGTACGAGATGAGCAGGAAGCTTCTGACGAGGCCTCTGATGTAACAGCTTTATTCCTTGGCTGGTATTGTCAGTAATAAATAAATAAATACTCAAAGGGTTCAGCTGCATAAGAAGGAGCAGGGTCTGAGCGTGCTCTGTGACCCCTGTCTGGTCCGAGGACCCTGCTGGTGGTTCCCACAGCCCTCAGTCTATTCGGTTGCCACAGATGGTAAACCGGTCTATCTCTAGTAAGTCTTTCTTGGGTGTTCTGTGTATAAGTGCATCTCCTTCCAACCCTGTATCGGTGTTTATGAGTTTATCATCGTCCTCCTCGTCCGGTGTGGTCAAGAATGTGTCTGAGTCACTCTTGGGAATTGAGGGTGCGGTGGTCTCTGCCATGTTGAGGGGCTGAGCAACTCCAGGTGCCAGGGATAATCCTGCTTTGTCTGCTGTCGGCTCTGTTGGAGAGAAAGTTTAAAGTTTGTCAGAAGAAATAAAAAAATATGTAAAATTCTTAAATTTAATGACAGAAGTGTTATGGCTGGTTAACCTTGTGTCGATGCAGCAGGAACATATTTGTTCCGGTGAGCTCGGGAGTTGGCTCGGCTGGAAGCTACAGAGGGAGGAGGGTCAAAAAGTTTTTCCTCCATGTTGGCTTTTCTGACAAAAGTGCACGACGTTCCGAGGAGAACAATGCTATTGAGCACCTTCAGAGTGACCATCCTGCTCACAAAGACACATTTAAAACATGTCAGAATGACACATTTTTTAAATTTAACATATAACATATTTTGTTCAATATTTACCCCAAGCAAAACAGCAGCACACACATAAAGGAGAGCGAGCCCTGGATCCTCACTGAGCTAGTCACGACTTTGATGAGCTGAAAAAGATCCACAGATTTTACTGTACATGCTTCAAACATTACGTTATAAAAGAACTTGATCTAAAAAATAAAAGAAAGATGACTGACCAGCAGAGCTAAGGGAAGAGGGATGAAGCCCATTCTTCTGGATACTGAGTCACTGTAGTCTGTGTAAGCCTGTGGACACAATTAACACTTCATTACTAAAAGTATCAGCCGCATTATCCACCTTTCAGCTGCAGTAGAGTTTGAGACCTTAAAAGAGATTATGCATAGGGCCATGCTGCTAACAGGGCCATGCTGCTAACAGGACCATGCTGCTTACAGGATCACATTGCTAATAGTATCACGCTGCTAACAGGACCACGCCGCTAACAGTACCATGCCGCTAACAGTACCATGCCGCTAACAGTACCATGCTGCTAACAGGACCACGCTGCTAACAGGACCACACTGCTAACAGGACCATGCTGCTAACAGGACCATGCTGCTTACAGGATCACACTGCTAACAGGACCACACTGCTAAAATGACCACGCCGCTAACAGTATCATGCCGCTAACAGGACTGCGCCACTAACAGGACCGCGCCGCTAACAGGACCGCGCCGCTAACAGGACCGC